TTTTCTCGCTTTGTTTAACAAGGACTCGCCACTAGGATGTCGGGCATTGACCTTGTACCAGGTTAGAAACATCTTCGCTCGGTTGTGCTTTGCCCCTGACGACTCACAACCATAAGGAGCCTTGGTGCCGATGCATCCTTCTCTCCTCCCCCGGCCGCTTGATTTCCATTTCTCTCCATCTTTGAACAACTTTCATAGACACTTCACATCTTTTTTCACCACTCCTCGATCTAAATCCTTATACTATAATATATAAAAGTCTTCTGTTAATATATGTATTTTATCAGCTCTTTACAGATCCTTCTTATTACACAAAGTTCCATATTACTTACCTTTATTGTTTTTATTCAACGCTAAAAACAAATATAAACCTGGACCCTTAGCCCACCCCACCCCAAAACATTTTAACATAAGCCCTCACCATAAACTCGCAGGAAAAGTGTTAACTAGCTCACGTTCTCTTTATATGTCATCTATAATTTAAAATGCCTAACCCAGTCCTTCATCACACCCCCTGCAACCACTTATCAAGAGAGTAATAGGAAGCAACACTGCTCTTCTTCTACCTATATCCTTCCCATTCCTACAGTCACCTGTCCATAAAAATAATTGTAAAGGGAAAATACTTTATTTCTATAAATGATCCTTTTTTCCTATCCTATTCAATAACCCCGTCTCCCTTCCTACATTCAAAAACAGAGACCCCATTCCACAAACCCTAAGCAAACCCTTACCTATTACTAACCCCTACCCCACCCAAACCCTAACCCTAACCCAACCCTAATCTAGCCCTAACCCTAAACCCTAACCTAATCTAACCCTAACCCCAAACCTAATCTAACCCTAACCCTAAACCCTAACTAACACTAACCCTAACCCTAATATAGTTCTAACCCTAATTATAACCAAACCTCTAATATAACATTAGCAATTTAACCCTAAACCTTACGTGCTTCGCCCCCTCTTTCTAATAGTTACTCTTATATAATATTTTAACTTCATTTTATTTTATTTTATTTTGATGTTATTTTTTATTTTAATAGTATATGACATATATTTTTTA